CATAGCTTTATCCGCGAACACTTTAGTTTCATCATCCGGTGGACTGTCTAAAGAGTATTAAAACTTTATTAGTTTATATTTAAAAGCAATAATAATATTATAATATATACCGTTACCTGTCTGCCTTTGTGCAATATCAGCTCTTTTCTGTAAAAGCTTTGCTTCTTCCGTATTATTCAAATAAGGTATTCCTATGTATAATTGAAGAATGTATAATTAATCAATTAAACTAAAAAAAAAAAATCTAATCGGAGATAGTTAAATTAAAATTAACCTTGAGATATCAACTTGTTAAAATCAAAACCACATTTCATCAAGAAATGTAAACTTGATCCACTGCACATGAAACAAATATCGTTGAAGTCTCTTCTATCAGCATTAGCTGGAAAGATATAGAAATTAAAGGGGCGAGCAACAAAAGTATCTTCTTCTTCCGAGTATGTAAAGGTACATAAGCCAAATTGAATAATAAGAAACTAAAATAATTAGGAAAAAAAGTTGACAGGCTAATAAGTTTACACAGAACGCGACCATTATCACCGGAATCACCGGATACGACGCGTTTAACTTGCCTTAGTAGCTGCTGCTCGAACCTTTAAATATCTTGAGCGAGGATCATCGAAGCTCTTAATTCGTTCAATGTGTTCGCTAAGTCCTGTTATTTTTTTAGTATATAAAACAGAACAATTAATACATATTTTTCAAGCACTGCTGGAACTTTTCTTATCACACTTACCTGTTAATTCAGTATCTAGGGCTATAAAATCGGCCCCTTGAATAGCCTCTGTAATAGTTGGCAAAAGTTCGTGGAAATTATTTTTGAGAATGTCCATTGCATATAATGTTTTAATTGGTTATTCTATAAACTTCTCGGAATGAACCATTTCGCAAAATTTTTTTTAAAGTGACGTTCTCACTAATGACATAAGTGACATATAACCGATCGATCATGTTCAACCAATCATGCTTAACCAATCATGCTACAACACGTCAAATAGTAGCATGAGCGAATATAAAGAACTTTTTAACTTAATTCACAACTCTAATCAGAAATGTATAATCTCCTTCAACGTGCTAATGCGATATTCGCCTTTTCGATGACAGTCACTTTTGGCGTCCTTGGCGCAATAGCATTAGTGACGCCATTTTTACCCTCTTCCCCCTCAGCTCAAATTAATATCAAAAATATACAAGTCATTTCATATGATTACATGTCTCAAGGCGAGAGTGAGTTTGCATTTGTGAAATTGAATCTCGATGCTGGTAAGTTTTTTAAAAATTCTTTATGTCTTGTGTTTCCTTGCGTCTCACGTATATATTTTACTCGCGTCCCGCATAATTTTTTCAAGACTTAACCTCTCTATTCAATTGGAACACGAAACAATTATTTGTCTCTGTCATTGCAGAATATGAAACTAAATCGCACGTATGTTAGACTTTGAAGTTAAAACTACTTTTGTCAGATCGAATCAGATCTCAGAACGCGCAATTTTAACAATATTAACATTTATGTAGAATATTAACCAAGTGGTTTTATGGGATTCGATAATTCAATCAAAAGACGAAGCACTCATCAAAGTTTCTGATTTACATAATGAATATAACTTTGTTGATATCACAACAAGCTTCCGGTAAGTCTGGTGCTTAATTAAAAAAAGAAAATTTTTTTTTTTACATTAACGCCTTAGATTGACTGAATTTTTCGTGTCCAAAGTCAGGTGAATGCATCGTATTCCTTATATTGGGATGTAATGCCATACGTGGGAATGTTAATGAGTGGGCGAACAAGATCTAATCAAGTTATTAAGTTTCCTCCACGGTCAAATGAGTATAGATAACACTGCTACTTTGCCGACCAGATCCTAAGCTATTATAGTTTGGGTTGGTCCAAACTAATATATTAAAAAAAAAAAAAAACTTTGTTAATAATCTTTATTTAAAAAAAAAAAGGTATATATTCTCATATATAATATATAATATATTTTGAATTAATTTTTTATAAATGGTATATAATTGGTTTTTTTTGAGTTTGGGATTTGTTCGGATTTTTCCAGCAAATATACAGTATATTAAATACGAGATTATAGAAATATAATTAATTCAAACCATATATTATAATTAAAAACTATCCCATTATAAAAAAAGTTTTTGTTTTATATACATTGGAATTCGATTACATTTCAATGATTATACATGGTCACCTTTTTTCTAAACCGTTTATTGCGATAGACGGGTATATTATTCAGCGAGCTGTTTAATTTACTTTTTTTTTTTTTTTTGTGGTAATTTTTTTTTTCTTTACAAGGGTTCAATTTACCCGGGAAATTGTGTAATATTCTATATAAAAAAAAAAAAAATCGAAGTCTATTTTATCTTAATTACAAATTCAATCGAAAATGGTATAAAAGCATAATATTGTATTATAACTTATACAGTATAACAAAATTAAAATAATATTTTTCAAATTTATTGAATTATATATTGATATTTCAATAAAGTTGTACGTAAAACTAATTTAATATATCAGTCACCCGATTTGTCACAAATTTTACATATAGAGGTTTTTATATATATAAAATTATAACAAAAACATATAGAATTACTTATAAA